GGTAGCCTGGGACAGGAGGAAGCTCATCTCATCCTCCTTGCTTGCTCTGCTGCCTTTTGCCGACCATGAACTGTTTCTTCCCTGCCAAGCCCCTCTGCCAAGCCACCTGGCCTTGGAGTCAGTAGAGTATGAACTGAAACCTCCCAGAACCTTGAGCTAAATAAACCCTTTCCCCTCTAACTTTGGGTGTCAGGTATTTTGTCTAAGCAATTTGAAAAAAGTAACTAAGACACTGTGATGATGGTAGGCACCCAGGGGCCTTTAGGAACATCTAGAGCCCAGGTCCACCACCACTCTCTCCCAGAGCCCTTGCTTTCCATGAGGCAGCCACTGTCAACCCCCGGGCCTTGGGGGAAACCAGATGTGGTGGGGAGAAGACGCACCAGAACCCAAGGTGGAAAATCTGCAAAGCACAGGAATTGAGGGCTCTGTGTCGGGGTCAACTGCATGCTGTCACTTCCAATGAGTTGCCTCTCACAGGCTGCTCCAAGTCACAGCTCAACAGGTCTCCTCCCTGAGATGGCACCAAGGTTTTCTCCGACAGGAAACAGGGCTGGGAAAAATGTTTGTTTCCATGTCTTCTGTGAGGGAGAGTGCAGGTGTAGCCCAGCCTGAGTAAAGGACAGGGAGGCTGAGCTGCCTAAAAAGATAGTTGGTTTTCTAGACCATCTCTGCAGGACCTGAGCAAGGTTAAAACAGAAGATGCTTCCAGGGGACAATGCCACAAAAGGAGGCTGACTGAGGCCAGAGGAAGCAGGTATGGCAGCAAAAAGGATGACTACAAAGAAAGAGGCACTGGAGACATTAGTAGGTGGGGAGTTTCATCCCAGGGAGCCCCATCCAGTGGAGGTTCTTGCTCCTCTCATACTCTTCTGCCTGTACAAACTGGCTCAGGCTCCAGGGAGGCCGCAGGCCTTGGGCAAGCATCAGAGTGCTTCTGGCTGCTGAGCCGTCCCAGCACACAGGGTCTTTCCAGCCTTGTGCCAGGCCCCTCTCGGGTACCCCCAGGTTCATGCCTGTAGGGAGCATGCAATCCACCGGGGCCCCAGGAGCTCAGAGCTCAGAGCCACGCCCCAAAATGATGGCTCTGTTACAAGGCTAGCTGTGCTTTCTGCCACATGGATGTGTGGAGAGTGTCTGGGGTTGAAACTTGGGGTTCATGTCCCAAGGATGTCACCTTCCACACAGACACTTCCGTTGACACCTGTGTAAGAAGCCAACCTATGGAAGGTAGCCACCTTACCTACAGAAGCTGCTGACCCCTCCAGGAGGCCTTTTCCTCAGAGCCTCCAGGAAGAACACATCTCCAAATCCTCACCAGAGTGTCTGGCACGTTATAGATTAAAGACTGGTGGCCAACTTACCACCAACTGAATTAAATTGGGACAGTGCTGAGTGTGGATGTTCCACCCGAGGAAAGCTGCCAGCATAAGGGGAGACATGCAGAGGAAGACGCACTTTGGGTTCTCCTGAGTGTTGCTGTTTAGAGCCATTGGTTTTCCTTGAGGAACCTGTGGAGTTTCTTCTCTGATATGAGCAAAAGTCCACACTTGGCCTTCATATGCCAGGGGGCATATGGTGGGTACTCATCTGGGAAAATACCTGGCTAAGGAGACAAGTGCCAAACACAGCAGCCCCCAGGAGAGACATCGAGCCCCTCAGACTGGGCCTCCAATACAGGCCAACACCCATGGGCACACTAACATAGTACAGAGAGAGAGGGCAAGGGTAGGGATGGCCCAAGACTCCACTTCCTGCATCTGGCCCCGACAATTCTGCGATCACCATGAATGTTTAGTGAAGGGTCACAGGGAAGAGGGGGCAATCACATGCATTTCAGAGCCCTCACTGGGCTGGAGACGCCCACATGAACCTTGTTCAGTTCCCCACTCTCCTTCTGGCCTTGCCTGTGTACTGGGCCCTCCACGACAAGCCTGATAACCAAGGGTGGGGCTGGCAGTGACAGCTCAGCAGGTTGGACCCCTACGCCAGGAAGTGTGCTGGCGCCCCCGAGAGAAACTGGCACAGTTACCCAGCACTGGTGAGACAGGATCATTGAGCCTGGTCCTTGTCCTCGGCTCTCTGGGAAGGCACAGGCTGCGAGACCCATACAGACCCCTACTCTGGGCTCCCAAGGAACCTGGACCCCAAGGTGCTTTTGAGAGGAAAGGTGGGGAAGAGTGGTGCTCCTGTGAAGCAGCTAACATTTTCCTGTGGTACAGAGGAGGAAGGCAGTCTGGTTTACTACCAGGTTAGCGTCTAAGTCTAATGACACCATCTGAATCTGGAGAGGCTGAACACCGGCCCCAAGCCCTGAGAAGCGAGCAGCTTCCAGCAGATAGATGAGATGACAGTGGAGCTAGGAGAGGTCCACCCCACAGCACGGTCAGCCAGAGGGCTGGGGCCCATCTTAAAGGCTCTGACACCCCACGCCATTCCCTCTGGCAGCTCTCCCTGTCAGAGAATCACTTAGCGACCCTGTGTGTGATCCTTGACTTATAGCTGCCTCAGTGACTGGCACACTCTACCTTGGAGACTGCCTGGGAAGCAGGCGTTACCATGTGGTAAGGGTTTGCCTAACATCACCTGGGTCCACCAGGTTTTGAAACTTTCTGAAATAAATGGTGCAAAAATTTTTTAAGACTGGGACTAGCAACACACCTGAACACCCCCCCCCCCATCTATTGCTTATTGAAGAATGTCCGTATTCTTCCCAGAGGCATCTCAAGTCTCCTTCTTATCTGAACAAGAGTAACTCAGCTGTTCCAGACCTGCAGCTTCCAAAACCTCAGAATGAGAGAGAACATTCCAGAACATTCCAGACATCTGACAGCCAACACACCTGGAACCCACTGCCCCCTACATTCACCCAAAGCAAGGTTGTGGGAAGCAAACAGAGAAGGACTTCAGTGATGCCTAGCCATCTCTCCAGGCCCCAGGATATCAAGTACATCCCTGGGGTAAACCAATCCCTAGGGATGATGAATGTGCCCTTGGTACTATGTATAACCCTTTTCCATACTCCAGTGATATCATGGATAACTAGGGAGAAGAGGCAAAATGGAATTGGCCAACACTGAAGGATATCACAAGGAAAAGTGGGTACATAGGTGAATTTTTGAAGAAAGGACTGTGATTTTATAATCAAGAACTTTCAAGGAAACAAGGAGCCTTCACCCTCCTGCAGGAATTTTCTGGCATATGGTGTAGTTACACCTCTGCCCTTGGGCAAGAAACAAACATCCCTTCGGCTGATCTAAGCTTGGTGGGTTAATATGTGGTGATCAGAAATGTTTTGTCAGTCAGATCTCACTTTTTACCAGTCATAGAGCCCCAGCCAGAATATATGGTTGACACAACCCTGGCAAAGGGGCGGCTCAGAGCATGTACTCCAGTTCTGATTTGGAGACCACCTGATGAAGTGACTGTACTCCCAGAGTAAACTGACAGCACAGTAAAGAATGCCTCTCTATACAGACCACATCTCTCTCCCAGTGCAGGTAAGAACATACATCTTCGTGCCTGAGTAAGGTTACACCTACATATCATCGGGTACGGAGACATACTTCTACACATAAATACCTCTATGCAGATGCTCCTTGATGCAACTGGGATGAAACTTCCACAAACCCACTGTTTAAGTGGAAAACCCATCGAACACACCTAACCTGCTGTACATCCCTAGCCTACACATCAGTCATCTGCAGGATACTGATGTTACCTTACACTTGGGCAAAGTCATAAATGCAAAGACCACATTGGATGGAAGTGCTGGAGAGCTTGTGTAACTCACTGGCTGCTGGGCTGAAAGGGAAACACAGGATGGCTGTATGGGCGGAAAACATCAAGTTGGAAAATCTTAAGGCAAAGGAACAGATCAGGGCTGGTCTGTGCAAACCTCAAACCTCTGCTTCCTGGCCAAGCGTGGGTGGCATTGCCAGGAGCAGCAGATGCAAGATAGGGATGCGAATGCTACACCTGCCTTTGTAAGAGGGGTCTGAAAGGTGGAGCAGCTGCTGAGAGACAGGTGGGAAAGGGCAGGTCACCCCAGCAAGCAAATTAAATGAGGGGACCACTTGTGGCCTGCCACATTGGAAAAGACTATTCTAGGTAAAAGCTAAATGTTATTTAGAATGTAGGGTAAAGGCCTTTTGTATACTGCCAGGAGATAAACTAATACCATCGTCCAGGAACTGGGTATCCATACCCAAAGCTGTAATAGCACAGACACTCCCCAAGCCAGGGATCGGGTTATCAAAAATTCATTCCAGGAAAATGGACAAGGATATAGAGAGCTAGAGAAAGAAAAACAGAAGAATCACATGAGCATTGAAACCGGTGTGCGTGTGCTTGTTAGCCTGGAAAGGTGCGTGTAGTCTAGTGATAGCAAAGAACTCAGACTGCAGTCAGCACCCAAGCCTGGGGCAAGGAAAGGCCCCAGCACACAGAGCAGGCTGGGGTGTGACCTCCACAGCGCAAACTCTCAGGTGCACAGGTGGGGCTTCATCGGGACAGCGTTTCTCATTGTCATTCAATATTACAAACCGGTATCTTATCTGACGACAGAAACTCAGTTATGAATTGCATGGGACTTCTTGCGTCTGTCCTCAGGTGCTTGGAACTGAACCCTGGGGTCAGATATAATTGTCTGTTTCATTCTAGATTTTCAGATAGATGCACTCTTTTCTCCTTTCTCTCCTCCCACTGGCTCCTGTCTTATGACGCTCATTTAAATGTTACTTCCTCTGCGCCTTTCATTGGAATTCTTTGTAGATCTACAGAGCTGAGGATCAACTGGCAGGGAGGGGAAAGCAGAGAGAAAGGCACAGGGGCTAGCAGAGTGCAAGGGACAGTGTTATTTATTTCACGACAGAGCAGGAGAACAAATACTCCTTTCACTTCAAAACAGGAGCGAGGCTGGACCGCTGCTCGAGTCAGCCGCCCCCAGCGGTTCACGGAGGGCCGGACCAGGTGACTGCCCTTGCGGCAGCTGTACTCACATGCAGACTTGGATGATAGGTCAGCACGCCATTGTCACACAGGGTGACATATTTCTTCTTCCACTCTTTGTTCAGTGACTTCCCACTTCGCTTCAGCAGCATACCCTAGGACGAAAAAGGATCCAGACATAAAGCCTCGTGTAAACAGAAACCAGCAGCAGGTACAGATGCCACTTAAAAGTTTTTTAAACTTTCTCGGCATCTCTGCCCTCTTCAAAAGGAAACCGCACTCATTTTGGACTGTCAATTCGGCTTTTGCCCGCCTTTTACACATGACATACACGCAGCATTCCGCAGGTATCTGTGTACTGGACTTAACTTGGTGATTCACATGAATGCCGAGAATCTACCATTAACATCCTGAATCTAATATCCTAACAGGCCAGTTGGTCCCAATCATACCATGAAGTCACTACCACACTGGAAATTCCTAAGGGACTGATGCTGTAAAGATACCTAAACTTCCCTTTCTAAGAGAAGCACATTAGCTGTATTCTGATTCTATGTAACATAGTTCATTTTACTATTTCTTTCATTTCAGATTTTTAGTTTATGAAAATGGAAATTTCACTTGTAGACTTTAGTAACAGTATTTAATAGATAACTTCTGTGGACTATAACCCCTTTTTGATGAAACTGGACAAGCATTCAAGCATTCAAATTTGAAATGTATGCATTTTTTTGAAGCCATATTCAGCCCACTGTTCAGCTTTGAACAGCTGATGCAAACGTATTCTTGTTTTAACCAGCAATTCCCAGCAAGATACAAACTTGCTCAACTGGCTTCCCCATATGAAGAAAATGGGACTGCCAATTCCGAGCAGGATCAGGCCCCAGACAAGACCTTGAGCCCTCTTTGCCAGTCTGAGCTTCCTACCAATTCAATTCAACTCCGGCATTCACAGCATGAGTCTGTGTTCGCCTTCTGACTACTGCATTTAATTCCTGTCAACACACAATAAGATGGAAGAATCTACCTGTTCATCTCTTGCCATCTGTTTTTAAGCTCATATGACCACAATAATGACCAAGAAAGCTTATGTTTAACACTAATTGATTTACCCAGACCTAAGCGCTTCGACGTAAAGTTACAAATTCTGAGATATACTCAGTGGCCCCTGAGTCTCCTGCAAAATTTTTAGCAGTTTCCACTGAACTCTGAATCTTTGTTTCCCTCGACAATCTGAGAAAACATAAGGTAAGTGTTCTCTCCCGGTATGACTGAGTTCAAGTTTCAATTATATTGCAAAGACAGTGCTTTTTATTTACTCAGAGCATAACCAAGTTTCCTACACACAACAGATTAGGAGCCAGCTCTACAGAACATTGTTGCTGGGGGAAAATATCTGAAGATATGAAATGAGTCACAAATGAATCTTTGGAAGATCATTGCTTTGCAAGTTCTCGGTGTGTAAGGAAAATACGTGGCGTCTTGATTTCTGGAAATCAAGACTACTCTACACCACGTAGGGCACAGAGACCAACCCAATGAGCCAAGCCTAGAGGCCCATGTTACCAAGCTGGCAAACCGAGGCACAAAAGGCTTTTACTGGCACCAATTAGCGAGAGAAGTAGTCACCACTAGAGACGCAGTAATAAATAAGCAATTGCTTCAAATCATTAAATTTCCCTCCCCGGTGGGAGTCCTACAATTTTGAGACTTAGCATAACAAAACCTCGCCCATGTTCTCCTGTGGGCTCACATTTTTCCATTCCCATTTCAGATAGAATTCCAACAATACCAGGGGCTGGGGGTCACTGTGGCGTCACTGGAAGATTAGAGCTGCTCTGGGCTTCACAAGGCTTTGTTCCTTCCCACTCAAACAAGCGCCAGGCACAGCACACACCCCTGGGGCTCTGCAGATGGACTAGCGCAACTTCTTCGGCTGGCTTTGGGCGCTTTCATGAGCAAATCCCGCACTCGTAATTGCCCTTCTACCAAGGAAAGCTACAAGGACTCACTTATTAAAGGAAAAAGTGTGTGGGGGGGTAATAGTCCAATTAGGTGGCACATAAGGAGATAAGTCCAGGGTTTTCTGGGGGACTAAGGCTGGTTTGCTCCAATGCTAAGAAAACACTGTCTTGCGGAAGGAAAATCCGAATGTTGACAATTTTAAATAAATTCCATGGTTCACTTGGAAGATGCCATGGATTCTGCATTGGACGCCAGTGCTGTGGAAGCCAGCAGGCTGCACAATCCCTGCATCCGGGAGCCGCATTCTCCAGCCCCAGGCTTCCGCAGGCCCTGCATGGGTTTAGGAGGTGATCCTGTCCCCCAAAGATTCCAGGAGACCCACAGTCACCTGCAGCCTTGGCTACCACCAGCAGCTGGGGCTGAGCAAGGCAAAGGCGGGTGGCCTGAGCACCATCCTGCCATCCTGCCTGTTCCTTGGTGAGCAAGGTCACATTTGCTCTGCTTGTAGTGGCAACAGGTCACAGGCAGCAAAGCTGCGGAATCTGTGGTTTCCTCACTGCAAGGAAGACTGAGCTACAGAGGCCACTCACAGGAAGTGGCAAGTCAGTCACCATCCTCTCTGCACAACTGCGATCTGCATTTCCCATGTACCTAGGTGGAACCTCTGAGGGTCCCAGCCACCCTTGTCTGTATGCCAGAGGTCTGGAGCCACTGGCTACCCTCCCAAGGCACAGACATAAGGGCTAGGGCTCAAGACCTCTCCACAAATACCTCTGCAATCCAGGTTCCCCTGCAAGGGAAGCAACACTCCAAGCCTGCAGGGAGGGCAGGCTGTACCTCGGGAGTGCTTCTGCACCTCCCCGTGGAATGTGGCTGGACAGGCGCCCTCTCAGGCAGGCCTGTGGGGCCTGTCTCTCTCTCCTGCATTCCCACTGAGACTACAACAGGAGCCTGGAAAGAATGAGCAACCAGTGCCACCCAAAGATGACACGGAAACACCCTTGCAATGCAATGCACATGGCTCTGGGCAAAGGACTCTTGTTTTCAAACCCCTGAGGAACCTAGGAATGCTCTAAACTCGGTCTCAGCAGCAGGGGACTACGTGATGGGGAGCAACAGGCACAGGTCTCAGTCTCAGTAGTGAGTCCCAGGAATGGGTGGCCAGGGTGACACTGGAGAACAGAGTGTCCAGCTGCTTTTGCCATAAAAGAAACTCGATCTGTACATGATGACTCCTATGTTAAACCCAAAATATGAACAAAGAGCAAAATATAAGATAGCAGGAGAGAGAGCTAGCGAGATCTTTTGCAAAAGGGAAAGGGACCAAGAGATGGAGGGAAGGGAGGAAAGAAGTAAGATATGTGATGTCCCTGGACCAACTCACCTTGAGGAATGGAATCATCAAGTCCTGCAAATACGGACTCAGAGAATAAAAACTGAAGAGACAAAAACAGCACTAGAAAGGTTGGCTGAGGTCAATCCAGACACAGCTGCAGGGTGGCTCATGATGGCGCGATGTCTGGGGGTCGCTTGGGGTCCCCCTACCTTCGGGCAGGTCATGTTCTGGCAGGCAGGTGGCAGAACCCAGGGTCTCCACCAAACCTTGTCCAGCAGGCAGCCTGCACGGAGCCAGCCTGCCTGGTACCTCAGTCGCAGCACTTCTGCTCCACCTCAAAACACCCACATCGCCCATCCATGCTTGCTTCCAGACTGGACCTGAAGGCATCTCGGAGTCCCCACCTGCCACAAGGGCCAAGAGGATGAGAGATGGAAAGACGCTGGGCTCATCCAACCTGTGAAAGACTCTTCTGGGGACTTTGGGGAGAGAGATTTTCAAGGTGACACCCAAGTGAAGCTCTGTGAGCCACCTGCACTAGCAGCTTTGGCCAACCTGAAGCCTCTCTGGCTGCAGGACATCTGGCCCCAGCCCAGAGGGTCTCAAGATCCCCACGGAAGCCATGTAGACATCTAAGTCTGCACAGCGCTGGAAACAGGGCCTAACAATCTCAGGAACAACAACTGCTCTAAGAAAATACTGAAAACCCACATGCGTATTTTAATGGCTGTGTGAAAGTGACCCAGGAACGGTCCCCGGATTCCACTGCCCAGGCTGGTGCTGACAATGGGTCACAAGTGGCACCAATGATGACCGTGCAGTGGGAGACTTAGTGTATAAATAATCCACTTTCCAGCAGAACTGATGCTGGGAGTGGGTGCAGCAAACTGTGTGGGGCAAAGTGACTTCTCGTGAGGATGTGGCAGCATGGGACATGGGTCGCAACACGACACAGGCACGTGAGGAAGACAGACCTGAGGAGCAGGAGCTTAGGTGGCAGCAGTGAGGGCCCTTCACATCCTCTGGGGCTTCTGTCTCAGCCAAACCACATCACCCTTCATGGTGATTTAAATGTGATTCTTTTTTTTCTTTAACGGTCTGTTGTAGTCATTCTTAATTATTTTGGGCTTCACATTTATTTTAGTGCAATCAATACAGAGTTAAAACTTAGTTGTATGTTTGCACATAAATGTCTGCTTATCGGGGGAACAGTTATGTCCTCAAAAGTCTCACGTGTTCAGAGGTGAGGATTTAGGAAGGTGATTGGATCACAGGAAAGCTGTAGTCATCCATAGAATCATCCGTAGGTGAGTTCGTGGCTGAGTGTGTAGTTAGGAGGTGGGGACCCCTGAATACGCTGTTAGAGATGTGGATCACTGGCTGCACCACTTGGAAGGGTGTATTCTTGTTCCCAGCTCCTCCCCTCCTGCTGTGCTTCCTGGGGTGAGCATCTGTCCTCCAGAAGGCCCTTCCACCCTGCTGTTTCTGCCTTGGAGCCATCTGACCACATATGGACTGAACCCATGGAAACCGTGAGCCAAATAAACCTCTCCTCTTCTAAGTTGTGGGCATCAGGCAGTGTGTTCCAGCAATGGGGAAGTGGCTAATATGCTGGTCTAGAGTAGAGATAACCAGGAATATAGTCTCCTGGGGCATGAGAGGTGAAGAAAGATGGGAAGGAGGGATGTAAGTGAGAAGTATGGAGGAGGTGAAGCAGGGAGAAAGTGAGTGAGGGAGATAAGAGAGAAGAAGCAGTGTGACCAACCCCTGGGTGCTGTTATAGCAGTCCAGGGTGTCCAGGTAAGTAGTGGACATGGGACTTGATGACAGAAATGGCAGCTTCCACATTGGCCC